TCCAAATCATGCTAGCACTACTGTATCTTTGTTCTTTCCCTTGATATTTAGCATGGTAGCTATAACATTCTCACTAATATTTTTTTTTCATTATGCATTATATCTAAGTTATGCCTGAACTCTATAGTTTTCCAATATGGCAAGCTCCAAGTTGAAGCTTTGATTTTGTAGTATTGAACATTATCAGAATAACCCATTTTCCTGTTCCCACTATCCCCGATTCTCTTGATAACAGTATGGGTTTACCTCTAAGTTCATGCTTCACATCATATTTATAGATTTTTCTCCTCCTATGGTCAGTGACTTAGTGGCCAGCCATCTTCGATGACCCATGTAACACTCTTTATGTCCAAATTTCAAATGTTGGTAACATGTCCCGCAATTACAGACAGGATAAGCTAATTTTCCCTTTACCAGCCCGGTAGCAATTCATATGCAGGGAAATATTTTATTGTCCATAACAATGCAACATGTAAACAAAATATTTCGTTAGAATGTGCGTCATTGATGACTACATATTTACACATGTTCTACCACTCATTATTGATTGTTTAGCTTGGTGTTTATCATACTTTGGCCTATTTTACGCTAGCTTATGTTCCTTTATCACATTTCAGGTCCTATAACGTAAAATGAATCATAGGCGCAAGTTTCAAGTCAATCAGAGATCATTTGGCAACGGGGCAGAAGAAACTCGGGCATGATCTGAATATGAATGGATTATACCTCATTTTGTGACCAAATAATCAGGTAATTTTGTCATGAAAAGAAAGAGGATAAGACTACAATGTCTGGGGTCAAACGACACCTGATTTCGAGGGAGAAACGAGGAATCATAGACAGGGGACCCAAAATTGTGAAATACCCGGCCAATAGGTTCAAAATACCCGATAGGTTATTTCGATCAGAAGACCCCCCCGGTCAGGAGGTTCAAATTACCCGACCAGGTATCTGTCCGCTTACAAATTTTCTACCAAGTATGCTTTGAATCATCAGTCTTTAGAGTGATATGCAACCTAGGGAGGTTAGTGTAGCACTATGGAGGATGTTGATGCATTGAGAAGTTTCCTTTCTTCATCGTGTGTTGATTGATTGTGAGAGTTAGTGATCTTAGGACACTTGAATCGTGTGGTATCGATGACTCTCTAAATGTCATGAACTCCCGTAACATGTTTTGAAAAATGTGCTCTAAACTGTTCTTTCAAAATAATGTCGACCGTGTGAAAATCGATGAAAATGTGTGTAAGCGGAGACGGGAATCCATTCCTAACTTCCACCTACTACCTCCAGCCCCCTTACACTTCTTTCCCCCACACGAGGCTTAAGACATCTGCTCCCGGCATGGCTGGTAAGAGCCAGGCTCCCTCAAAACCTTTGCTAGGTTGGGGCTCCATTTTTTTGGAAATGACAGGTTGGAACCCTTGCGAGCATAAACAAACAAGAAAATGTAAAAAAAGAGTGGGGTTCCAACCATATTTAAAGAAAGAAAAAAAGAGCACCTAAAAATTCGATTCCATGATTTTCTAGTTTTTTAGAGTCTCTTTATCCACAGATCATTTGTCGTAAGACCACTACTTGGTATGATCCCGATTCAGGACTATATATCCCGCCGAAGAAGCTAGGAGGTATCTTGTGCATTGGTTAACCTCGTAAGTTGTTAAATGACCTAAGAAGTCCTCTACCGACGATCAAGGTTTCTCTAAGGTTCTGGAGAGTTGCATTGGTGATTATGGTTTGCTTGGGGACAAGCAAACAATTAATTGTGGGGGGATTTGAAGACTAGATATCTTCACATGTTTTACCCCTCATTTATTGATTGTTTAGTTTGGTGTTTATATTACTTTGGCTTATTTTACGCTAGTTTCAAGTCAATTAGAGATAATATTATGTTATTTTCACATATTTCCTTTGTCACGTTTCAGGTCCTATCACGTAAAGTGACGCTTAGGTGCAAGTTTCAAGTCAATTAGAGATCATTTGGCGACTCGAGGGAAGAAACTCGGGCATGACCTGAATAAGAATAGATTTCTACCTCATTTTTTATCAAATAATCATGTAAGTTTTTCATGAGAAAAAAGAGGACGAGATTACGAGCGTCTGGGATAAAAAAAAGCACCTTATTTGGAGTCTGAACGGGGGAGAACCAAAGTATCAAAGACAGGGGATCCGAATTTGTAAAATACCTAGTCAGTAGGTCGGATATTATGAAAATATGATAGGATATTTCGATCAGAAGACCCCCCGGTTAGGAGTTTCAAATTACCCAACTGGGTGTCCGAAAACCTGACCGGGTAGTTCCCCTTTTGCGTAGAAAAGTGACCGGAGCGTTTTGAAGATCCCCAGTCACCAAATACAATTACCGAATGAGTAATATAACTGGAGAACTTCCAGAAGTGGATATAAAAGCATGTTTTATGGGTTTTTGGAGAGTTAGAGAGAGTTGGGTTTTGGTTCCTAAACACCCAAGGGATGAACCAAAGAGAGAGAGAGGGTGATTTGAGGCAGTATTGTACGATTTCTTCGCCTTGAAAGCTCGAGGAACAAGTCCGGACATGAAGATTGAATATCTGGAAAGTTATACTGTATTCTCTCTATTATCTATGAAATAACTTCCCTAATTCCCTTGACTTAGGTTTTGAGGAATCCTAGATTTGTATGTTAGGAAGAGTAATATGAACTCGAATTCATGATGGATTGCCATTTTATATTCAGTTGAGGTTTTTATTCAGAATTCCTTGAATTTTGATCAAATTCTTGTGATTCTTGCTTTGACCTAGGTTGAAAGAGCATCTTGAATTGGAAGTGGTGAATCGGAAACTTTAGTGGAGAAGTCGATTCACTTCTATGTAGTGGATTTGAAATCCAGTAGAGGAAGTTTCGTTTGATAGTGCCTCGGTTAGCTTACGTCGGTGGAAGTTAGTCGTCAGCCGAGTATTCAAGCTGAGAGGGTCTGGAACACTTTAGCCGAGACTCCAGACCGCTTGAGAACTTTCCGCAGTGTAGATGTTAGCTGAATTAAATTGGGTGAATTTCAACTTGGCCTAAATACAATCTAGGGTGAATCATACCTAAGGGAGTTTCCAACCTGAGATTAACTTTTACTGTAGTTTGCTAGAGTAGTTATAATTCTTATATCTTAATATGGTTTTCTAGATAATGAACTGAAGATGAGTAATAGTAACTCTAGAGACCTATGGATTCGATATTTATTACTTGTGCCACTATATTGCATCCCCTTTCATTAGTCAAACTTGGCCATTGTTAGGAGTTATAGCAAGTCTTTCATACGTACTAACCCCATCCTCTCATAACTCTTTTAGTTGCTCTATAATGGACTAAGTACACATATATGTTATTACAAGGTGATTTTTCACCGGGTATAGGGACACTACGGATTAAAAGGGTTTTGTCATAAATTTCCAAGGGGGAAGATTGTATGGTATTAACACCACAAGGTACCTGCAATAACTAGTGCTCATGGTCCCAAACGGGTTGAACCCATTGTTAAGAAAAGCAAGACAGACATTCCTAGGGTCTACAGCGAACCAACTATGATCCTCAACGAATTGTTTTCATGTTTTTGCATCAACCGGATGCTTTAGTACGTCATCATCAACATGCAAGTCCTTGTGCCACCTCATGTCTTTAGCATCTTCGTTAGTCATATACAATCTTTGGAGCCCTCTCTTAGTGGGAAATACCTAGCTTTTTTTTAGCTACATTTTTCTGTTTACTAGATATGTATCTAGGCTCTTTTCACTTTGGGCATGTTTCAGCAGATTGGAGAGGACCTAAATAGAGTACACAATGGTTTGGGCTGGCATCTACAATGGTGTAACCGAACCCTAGATCCTGCATGTACCGCTTCACTTCTTATAAGGAAGAAGGAAGCATCTCAACAATTGATAAAGTTTTCTTGAGTCGGTCAAGAATTAGGTTGAAGGCTTAATCACTTTTGTTGGTTAACAGTTTATTATTCAACAATTTCATAACGAATGATAATTTGGAAAAGTTACCACATCCAAGATACAATGACAACAAATATAGCATAAACATATGGGATAATCTCTAATTACCTGAGTTTAGTCCTGATTCCTCCACCAACCCACCACAATCGGGTTCTGGAAAGAAGAGACATCGTCAAATACACATGCAACAGCAAAATCAATGAAAGAAAAGGAGAGATAGAACCTATTAGATTCGATTCGTGCCCTAAATGCAGAATAAAATAAGGAATTATTATCTTCGAGGATGCACTATTCATGCCCTATATTACAGACGGTGCTATGTTTTCGAAAGGAACTTTAGGGGTTTTCGAGTAGGGAGGAAGAGGAGTGGTTTTCTAACAAAGGGAAGGAGATGGAATATTTCCCAACACTGAAAAGTTGTCCGCCAAACTCCAATTTTCACCCCGCTAAAACAAAATAGTATATGTTAATTAGACAAAATAGTTATTCTGACAACTTAATTTGACATAACAAAAACTAACCCATATATTATGACGAACCTGCATTTTGTCAGCTCACCTTGGGAATAATAATCCCTATTATGAAAAAATGGTTTGTCATTTAAACATGTCATGACGACAACTACTCTGACGATAAATATTTTCACATTTTAGTCCCATATATCTGGATATAGGACGCCTATTTTGACAACAACATATATGACACAAGATGTTTCTCAAATTACCCCTCTACAATGACCAACACTAATGAGTTTTTTAATATTACACTTTCTATTGTAACAAACCATAAGTGACAAAAGTTAATTTTTGTCATAACAAACCAAATTTCTTGTAGTGTTTTCTGCAAGGGAAACTTAGTCTTAATCTCACTTTGCTCCAAACTACTATCTAACAAATAGGAAGTTTGGGAGTAGAACTAACCTAACCTAACTAATTCCACTACAAGAAATTATAGTTCTAGTAACACTTATTTGCGTGACATTTGATTGTCCACCATATAAAACTATTATTCATGACACTCTTTTGTATATCTCAACCTTAAATAGCTCTTTTTTTTTCTTCGGCAATATTATGCATGTAATTTATTAAAGGGCGACATACTTGATGTGTCTACAATCATCCAATAATATACGGGGTAAGTTGAATCCAATAATATATGTGGTTGTCCGGTTTACTATCATGTGGATGAGGGTAAGTTTGAATCCAAGAGCAAAAAAGGGTGTTTTGTGGGTTTTAAAGATGGATTTAAGGGATTTAGAGTCTTGTCACCTTTTGAGCTTAGAGTTATACTTAACAGGAATGTGATATTTGATGAGAAATCTATGTTTAACCCCATGTTGAAGGTTATTGTTGTTGGAGATAGCAGGAATGTTGATAAAGAGGTGGAGCTGCAAACTCTCAAAGAGAGTAAGTTTGAGCACCAAGGTGGAGAAGATCAACATGAAGATGTTTCTGATGAGCCAGAAACTTCAACGTCTAGTGTAGGAGCTCAACAGTCTATAACTTCCGGTGGATCGAAGAGAGCGACTGTAGGAGTACCTGCACAGAGGTATGGCTTCAATGACATGGTGGGGTATGCTTTTCAGGTTGCTGAAGAGGTGGATGCGGGTGAGCCACAGTCTTACAAAGAAGAATTTTCGTGTGCCGAAGCCGCTCAGTGGCTTGCTGCAATAGGAGACGAAATGGAATCCCATGACAGGAATCAGACTTGGGAGTTGGTCAAACGCCCATAGGGAAGAAAGATTGTTACAAACAAGTGGATCTACAACAAGAAGGAAGGAATAACTTTTGAAGAGGGCATTAAATTTAAAGCGCGTGTAGTTGCAGAAGGCTTCTCGTAGAGGGAAGGAGTTTACTACAATGAGATTTTCTCACTAGTGGTTAGACTCACTTCGACCTGGGTGCTACTGGCAATAATAACACATCACTTGGAGATCGAGCACCTAGATATGAAGACAACTTTTCTACTTGGAGAGTTGGAGGAAGAAGTTTACATGACTCAACCAGACGCACGAAGAATAAGAAGAAGGTCTAGGGGGTTGCATGACTAGCTCTATCCTTCCCTGGTCTTCAATGACTTCCATGAAAATGGAAGAGGAACAGAAAAGGGATCAGGAGGAACGAGAAACGAAGAATTGAAAATGGCCCCTTTACTATTTTCATTTTAGGATTTAAGTATTCATGTCTCAGGTTGGGTTGGGGAAGTTGATTGTGTCGGGTTTTCTGACGTGGCAGGTTGGGTTTCACCATTTCTAGCCCAAAATGACGCTGATTAGGCGACTTTGTTAGCCATGTTAGTACATAATGGACGCCATTAATAGAGTTGGACGGAGACTAACGGAAAGTGACTAAATGTAGTATGTTTCACTAATTCAATCGACCTTTATTGATATTAATTTTTTCCCGTGACTAAACATGACACGATTTCATAAATTACTCAGTGACCAAACTTGGAATTAACCCAAAATATAAGCAATCAAATATGAACATTCTAGTGAACGGACCGGTTATAAATTAGTTTGTTTAATAGCCGAATATTAAAACTGCGCCCCCCAATTAAAAATACTTGCCCCCAGAGTGACGTGTGGTGTTTGAGCAAAATTTTTGGTTTTGGCCCAAATGAGAAAACTGGTCATTCTAAAGTTAAATATATTAAATATAGTTCGTCTCTTCCCTCGATTGGAACCACAATTGTATGTCTCTCCTTCCCTCACCAAATCGACGGTACCAAAATGAAGAAGCGACGGGCTGAGAAGAGGAGGTCTTGGCCGGATTGGTGAATTCTAAGTCGACGATTGGGTCTTCGAGCATGTTTTTGGGCGAGTAGCAGTAGATGGGCTTCCTCGAGCATCCGAATGTTGGGAAGCAGGTCATTAGGTTGACATACACTGGGAGGTCTCAATTTTATTTGGGTTCAGGTTCTAGGCCTGATTGTAACCGCTTTTCCTTTACCAGATTGGATTAGGGTTAGACCTAGGAGAAGTGCGATAAATATTTCTCATACTCCTCGGTAATCAGTATCTCCTCGAAGTATAGTGAAACTGGCTCTCTCCTGTCCGTTCACTAGCTAATACACATTGTGTTAGTGGATCACGTCAATCGTGTGTGTCTGTGCTTTCGTTTTCTTGCATTGTCGAATCCTCCAATTTCTTGATCCGTAGAGCAACAGTCGTGACAGGTGGCACTGGTTGGAATTCAAGCTAGGGTTTTGATTTGAAGAATGACAACAGTAAACATGAAGATCGAGAACTTCACGGGGAAGAGTAGTTTCGGTTTATGGCAGATCAAGATGCATGCTTTATTGAAACAACAAGGGTTGTGGGGCCCACTGTTTGCGCAACAAAAGAAAGCAATGGTCGATGATGATGAGTGGAATACCCTGGAGGAGAAGGCCCACTCGACCATTATGCTATTGTTGTCTGATGAAAGACTCTGTATCCCTGCTGATTGCCTGGATATCCCACGAAAATACAAGGTCTCCTCTTTTCAGCGAACTTGTCCAGACTATGATGCGTATCTTTGGCATAAACAAGGCACCCAAAGCTATGAATGTGGGATTTAGTGGGAGGTTTGTTGGGGAGCATCTAAAAATCATTCTTTCGGGAAGTGACCAGCGATAGAAGCTGGTTGATAAGATAGGCAGCGGTAATAACACACTCGCCCCAAAAACACACCGGGAGACCAGCATGGAACATCAGTGCTCGGGCTATCTCCAAAATATGACGATGTTTACGTTCTACCACGTCGTTCTATTGCGGGGTATCAGTGCAAGAGGTCTGTATTATAATACCCTTCTCATCGTAGTAAGCACAAAGGGAGTTTGACTGAAACTCGAGCCCATTATCTGCATGAATACGACGCACAGTTTTCCCATACTGAGTAGTAGCAAGTTCATAGTGCAACTTGATTTATCACTCAGTCTGACTTAAATTTCATAAGATAACCCCACGTGGAGCGACTGTAATCATCGACCACAGTGAGAAAATACCGTGACAAATCCAAGGCTGGTGTCTTATACGACCCCCATATGTCAACGTGAAGAAGATCAAAGCAACACTAAGTTTTTATTGAGCTATGAGGAAAAGGAGCTTGTGCTTGTTTAGCACGTAAACATGAATCACACTGCAGAGTATGTCGAGGATCGAAATTATAACCCATAAAATCAACTTATCAATAGAAGAATGCCCCAGTTTAGCAAGCTAAAGATCTGTCGAATCTGCTCGACTAACCATCTTGCATGTTCGAGGGAGAGAACCACCGGAAACCCGACTGAGATAGTAGAGCCCGTTTCAAATCTTACCGACACCAATTAGCGTCCTGGAAGGTAAGGCCTGGATCACACAGAATTCATGAATGAATACCCTTGAGACATTATGATCCCCAGTTAAGCGAATCACTAACAACAAGTTACATGTGAAATCCGACACATGTAAAACCCAATTTAGGCGAAGGTACTCGGATAACTGAACTGAATCAACCCCACATACACGGACACCTGTACCATTTGGAATCTGAAATTTAGAAGACCCAGGACAATATCAACTGAATTAAACCAAGAATCAATTAACCACTCACAGAGATCAGGAGTATTACCCGCCATATGTGTTGTGGAATCGACAGGTTTTTTTGGAGAAGATGTCGACAAGAATTGCTTGAGGTGGGCAAATTGAGCTGCAGTGAGACCTGGTATGGGGCTGCTATCAGTGGGTTCAGGCTCGACGTGAGCTGCTTCAGGCGGCGTGGGTGTTCGACGAACAATCATCATTCGACTTGGCGCCAGGGTGACCAGGAGGATATCCCACAAGATGATAACAAGTCTCGCGTAGATGGACCGGCTTGTTACAATTAGTTCACCACAGCTTCTCATGATCATCCTTCGAGTCCTTGTCGACCTCGGCTTGGAAAACTATAGTGTCTACAGCTGAATACCGGCCAATAGTGAGCAAGCGGTGTTGTTCATCAACCGAAACCTATTGATATGCATCGGTCAGAGTGGGGGTGGGGTGAGTGCTCAGACTTTGTGACCTGACGACAATTTAACCATCGTCCAAACAATGCACAAAAATCAAAGAATCTCTCCGTCTCTTATTTTGCCTGGTGTTGAGAGATCAAGTCACAGTGACAGCCTCCATAGGTGCACCTCGAGCAAACAAAATAAGGAGTGACACTAAAAAATTCAGCTCGTCCTACTAGAACCGCAACTTGGTGTAAAAAGCTGATATAGAAAGCTTTTCTCGCCACAAGGAGCTGATCAAGCGGCGCAATTCATAAGCACACTACGTTGAACCCTTGCTAAAACACTTCTGCAAATCAGTCTAGATGTCACGAGTTGTGGCATCCGTCCAAGCAATGTTCCCCACTTCCCACGACATCACGGTCTTGAGCCAACCCTTAACGATCGCATCATAACGATCCCACGCCTCTTGGCGACGCGGAGTACCAGCCTTTGCACGAGGCAAAGTGCCATCTACAAAGGCCATCTTTTTTTTGGCTATGAGAGTTTCAGTAAGGTCATTAAGCCACTCTCCATAATTCAGATCGGTGAGTAATTCACTACCAAAGAGCGATGCGGAGTACCAGCCTTTATACAAGGTAAACTGACTTATAGTGTTTTATTTAGGTGGCATAGCATGTCGTTGTTAGTTTTACGGCAGCCGCAACAAAAGGATCCTCCACCGGCGCACTTGGGGGCTGCCGCAGTACCAAGCATGGATAGGTCACTATGGCTTGCGGCGACACTTCAATCGAAGGGGGGCCGGATCGTCCTTTTTCTGCGACGGCCATGGCCAGTTGCTTGATCTCTTCCTCCGTCTGCATCTCGCGTATGATGGTTGATGGCAGTGAAACAGGTTTCCCTACTCGATTTGAGTAGGACTAGTCCACGAAGAGCTTAGGGCTCTTAGTCCGTTTTCATTGATTGATTGAATAGAAGCTTGCTTTACAACGTTTACCAGCAAGCAATATATAGAGAGAGATGCTCTCGACAGAATAAACTAGGAGGAAGAGTTACATTTTGACAAGGAAAGTAACTCTCTAATTACTTGGACACCAAGAATGAGCTGGAATGAGCTACGACACGTGAGCGGATAGATGTCACACACACGTACACGTAATACTCCCCCTCAAGGGAAGGCGTGGATATCGAGCATGCCAAGCTTGGAAAGGAGATGACGAAACTGGTCGAGACCGAGGCCCTTGGTGAGGAGATCAGCGGGCTGATCAGCTGTAGAGATCTTGCGTGGAGTAATGTGAGATGACTGGACTCGCTCGTGAACAAAATGGCAATCCATTTTAACATGTTTGGTGCGTTCATGGAAGACCGGGTTTGCAGCAATGTGAAGGGAAGCTTGACTGTCGCAATAGAGAGGAGTAGCTCCCTATTGAGGGCAACCAAGTTTTGCGAGCAACTAGCGAAGACAAATCAACTCGCTGACCGTGGTAGCCATAGAACGATACTCAGCCTCAGTGGAGGAACGGGCAACGACGGACTGCTTCTTGGTTCGCCAAGAGATAGGAGCATTGCCCAGACGAATAAAGTAACTGGTAGTGGAGCGTCGGGTGATGGGACAACCACCCCAATATGCATCGCAATAAGCGGTGAGAGTGAGATCAGACTGTGTGGGAAGATAGATGCCGCAACCTGGAGATTGTTTGAGATATCGCAGGACCCTCGTGGCTGCAGCAAGCCAGCAACGTGAGCCTGTGTGGGACTATGAACGCCCTGACTTAACAAGTTAACAATATACTGAATATCTGGGCGAGTGACGCTGAGATACATCAGACGACCAACCAGACGACGATAACCAGAATGGTCAGTGGTCGGAGGAGAAGCTAGGCGTCCCAACTTGTGATTTTGCTCAATAGGTGTGGCAATAGGACGACCACCCTCAATCCCGCAATCATACAAGATATCCAACACATATTTCCTTTGGTTTAAGACAATGCCATGCTTAGAGCAAGCCACTTAGATACTGAGGAAGTATTTGAGAGGTCCGAGATCCTTGATAGTAAACCGTTGATGAAGGAAATCCTTGACGCGTTGAATGAAAGGGAGGTCATCACCGGTAAGGATCACATCATCTACGCAACTCAAGGAAGCAACAAAACTTGAACCGGTCCTGCGGATGAAAAGGGAGTGATCGGCCTTACTCTGAACGAAGCCAAGACTGAGCAGTGCAGCTGAGAATTTATGATACCAATTCCTGGATTCCTGTTTCAACCCATAAATAGATTTACGCAAGCGACAAACATGAGTGTCACCAGGAAGAGCGAACCCTTGGGGAAGTTCCATGTAAACTTCCTCACTAAGGTCCCCATGAAGAAACGTGTTGTTTACGTCGAGTTGATGAAGAGTCCAGCCCTTGCTAACGGCGACTGCAATAAGACAGCGAACGGTGACAAGTTTGGCCACGGGAGCAAATGTATCGTGATAGTCGATCCCTTCAATTTGAGTGTAGCCCTTAGCGACCAGTCGGGCCTTGAAGCAATCAATAGAACCATCGGGTTTATACTTGATTTTATAAACCCATTTACACTTGATGGTGCGTTTTCCATGAGGTTGAGAGGTGACAATCCATGTACCATTGGGCATGAGTGCTTCGATCTCAGCTCGCATGGCGTCGCGCCACTCCTTAAACCGTACTACCTGGTGAAAGAAGCGTGGTTCGGTGTGAAGATCAACAGCGTCAAGGAAGGCGTGATGAGTAGTGGAAATGCGAACATAGCCAACGTACTGCTCCAAGGGATAACGTGCACGAATCATGTGTGCGCGGCCGGGAACATAAGTTTCATAATCATCAAAACGAACTAGCGGATGAGTCTTACGATTGCCGCGACGAAGGGGGCAGGTGGTGGTGAAGAAGGAACGTCTGGCTGTGGTTAGGGAGGAGGCTGAGCAATGTCTTTGTGCACTAATGGGTGGTGAGAATCACCTGTGGTAGTGAGTGGAGTTGATGTGGGGATCTGGGAAGCAGCATCATGCACGATAGGCTGAGTGGGAGAGTCCATTATGTCCTCATGCACTAATGGGTGGTGAGAATCACCTGCGGTAGTGAGTGGAGGTGATTTGGGGAGCTGGGAAGCATCATCTTGCACAATAGGCTGAGTGGGAGAGTCCATGATGTTGGTAGAAGATGGGAGTGCTACGTCGACAGTTGCTAGATGTGGAGAGTTGGAAGCTGCCATATGAGATGCATCCTCGACAATAACAGGTGAGCTCGTACCCAGTGGATGGTCATCAGCATGAACGATATCATGCTCTAGGCTGCAAGGTATGTGATTAGGGGGGTCTGGCCCTTTGCGAAAGGGGAAAACATGCTCAAGGAAGAACACATCTCGGGACGTATATATTTGATGAGTCTCGAGATCATATACCCTGTATCCGCGTTAGGAAGCCGGGGGTAACCTACGAAGATGCCAGCACGACCACAGGGAGCAAATTTCGAAGGATGTGGATGAGTGTCTTTCGAGTATAAGAGACAGCCAAAACTCCTTAGATGATCGTACGTGGGTGATTTGTTGTGAATGAGCTCGAATGGAGTACGATTGCCAATGGAGGTGAGTGGCATTCGATTGATTAAATAAGCTGCGGTCAGGATGCATTCACCCCAGAAGTGAGTTGGTAAGCCAGAATGGAAACGGAGAGCTCGAGCTATGTCAAGCAGGTGCCGGTGTTTACGTTCCACAACTCCGTTTTGCTGAGGAGTATCAACACATGTAGTTTGGAGAATGATGCCCTTTGTCTCATAATAATCCTGCAGAACGGCAATACTAAACTCACGACCATTATCACTCTGGATTCGTTTGACAAACCCGCCATATTGAGTTCGGACCTGATTGAGAAAAAGGAGTAAATACCGAGCTACTTCAGACTTGTATATCAGCAAATAAACCCAGACAGATCGGCTATAATCGTCCACGATTGTGAGAAAAAAGTGTGCTCCACTTAACGAAGCTTGCTTATAGCCACCCCAAATATCGACGTGAATAAGTTCGAAACAAGACTGAGTTTTAATAGAACTATCCGAAAATGGAAGAGGAGTCTGCTTAGCCTGTAAACAGGAAGGGCACGGGTCCTTATTTGAAATCAAAAGACTAGAAATATGAGGCTGTAAAACAAGAGCTTGGCTGGGGATGGATGCTCGAGTCGTGAATGCCTAACCGCCGTTTCTCGAACCGCCTTACGTGCATTGAAAGCTACTGGATGATCACCATCAAGCACCCGCATATAGTAGAGGCCATCAACGTACTTCCCCATCCTAATCATCTTCCTCGAGGACAAGTCCTGAATGACACAGAAATTACTGAAAAGATTACCGCGACTGAATGATCGGCTGTGAGGCGACTATTTGATAGTAGGTTGCACTGAAAATCAGGAACATATAAAACACGACGCAGAACCAATCCATTTGAAAATTTAGAAGACCCAATCCCACGAACCGGGATTCCCTTTCCATTAGGGATAGTGACCTGTAACAAAGAGTGAGACTAGATCTCACCATCAAACAAAGATGGATGCTTAGCAGTATGTTCTATACAACCGGAGTCAATAACCCATTCATTTTGGAAGTGAAGGATGTTACCTGCTAGGTTTCTTTTTGGTTCGGCTGGAGTGGAAGAGCTCGAGGAAAGAAAGGCCCTGAGTTGTGCTACCTGTGACGCGGACAGTTCGGGGATGGGCGACTCAAGGAAACCGTCGACAGCTGCAGCATGGGGATCATGGCGAGATTGCCATCCCTGGTTCTTCCTGCGTGGTTTGTCTCCTTTGTCACCTGCACGCACGGGATACCCAATAATCTCATAACAAGTGGATTTAAAATGCCCGGGCTTCTCACAATGGGTGCAGAACGGACGACCTTCAGGAGTTCGTTCATCAGGACTTGATTTCTCCCCCTTTCCCTAAAACGCGGCAGCTTCGGTGCGCGGGCGAAGCTCAATGGAGATGCTGCGTTGTTGTTCATCATTGGCCACAGCATGATAAGCTTCTCCCAGAGTAGGAATAGGCTTGAATGACAGGAATGAGTGTGAACGGCTGAAAACCCAACGTCGAGACCGACTAGAAAGTCAAGCAGCAGCATGCTTTCATGGGAACTACGTGTTCTTGCTTCAACTCCACATTCACACTTCCCACATGTGCAAGCAGCAGGTGGATCCAAGGTAAGCCAGTCATCCCAAAGTCGTTTAAGCTTAGAGTAAAAGCTGGATACCGAGGAACGGTCTTGGCACAGACTTGTGATCTCGCGGCGGATTTTTTACCAGCGAGGGAGGTTTCTAGTGCTGAATCGCTCTTTGAGTTCATCCCAGATTTGCTTTGAGGTAAAACCAGTGCTCAAGCTGCTACGAAGTTCTCGTGTCATGGCGCTACGCAGCCATTCAACCACCATGGCATTGTAGTGTTTCCATGCATCGAGCTTCTCACCGGCCTTGGGGCGAGGGATAGTTCCGAGAGAAAACCTAGTTTGTTCTTCGCAATGAGGGCGTTGGAGATCTCAGCAGACCACTCTCCATAGTTTACGTCAGTGAGGAGATCGCCGACGAAAACTTGACTAGGAGCATCGGAAGGGTGAAGGTAGAGAGGTGATGTCGGACCTATGACATCATCATCAGCAAGAGGAGGCATGGAGGAGTCGCCGCCAGAAGCAGTAGACTCATCCTTGGTCATGATTGAGACTCAGCAAGGTGAGGATTGATGTGAGACGTCGAGAGCTGCAACCTTGAATGGAAGCGGCTAGTTGAGGAAGAAAGAGATGCAAAACCCTAATGGATCGAGGTTTACTCTGATACCATGTAAAAATAATAGAACGCGGATAAAGACACACGAGATTTTACGTGGTTTCCCTACTCGATTTGAGTAGGACTAGTCCACGAAGAGCTTAGGGCTCTTAGTCCGTTTTCATTGATTGATCGAATAGAAGCTTGCTTTACAACGTTTACCAGCAAGCAATATATAGAGAGAGATGCTCTCGACAGAATAAACTAGGAGGAAGAGTTACATTTTGACAAGGAAAGTAACTCTCTAATTACTTGGACACCAAGAATGAGCTGGAATGAGCTACGACACGTGAGCGGATAGACGTCACACACACGTACACGTAATATGGTGGCTTCGGCAACACCTCAGTTGAAGCATCGCCGAGATGGCTTCTTGATGCAGAGTCCATGGCTAGCGGTATGGTCCCTTCCTCTATCGACGTCTCTACTATGGTGGTGAGTGGTAGTGAATTAGGCTTCTCAGACGTAATGTAGACTTCCTCTGCAGCGATCACTGCATTTTTCTTATCCTCCACCTCTACGCCACTCTCATGCAAGCCTTCTACGAACTTTAAGTACTTCTAGAACGCACCTTCCATCAAGACTATGAAAAGTTCAACGGGGCTTTGATACCAATTTGTTGTAGGCTTGGATCTTGAGCATCCGAGTTTTCATAACAAGATGGAGTTTAAAAAGAGATTAAGACTGGTTGAAAGGAGAATTGGCAGAATTGAGGGATTTAGGGTTGGAGAATAGGGTTCTTGGTAGAAAGTAGAGAGAAGAGGGATAATTTGACGATATGTTGATTAGATTTTTCTCTCATATCTCTAATGATAGAACTAAAGTACAATATATAGACATTAACCTGAACCCTAATCGACTAAACCTAATAAAATACTAAACTACCCTTAACCTAGTAATAGTACCCTCAACACATTTTGAGGTACATGACAGGATTTTCGACGTCGAGTTAAGGGGCAGTTGTTTTGGTTTGTGCGTTTTTCACTGGCGAGATTGTGAATTGCCTTTTCATGGGGCGGATCACTCTTTTCAATCTCCCCACCAAAAGGGGAGAGAGGATCCTATCCTTGGAGATGACATTATTCCAGGCTATTGTTCAACACCACCTGGTTTCACCTAGGGTGGTTTCTCGCACAAGCCTTCACTCAATTGAGCAGCGATGTCGCGTGTAAGCAGCTGTTCATAGGAGGGTTCATGGCTTGCATTGCTGATCATATTCATTCACATTCAACTGAATAGGAACAACCTTTGTGGGATAGGTTGGGTGGAATCAAAACACTCATCCCCAATCCAGCCCGACTAGTCACTCCGAACCATATTGCTAGTTACATAGTGAATCTCAAGTCTTCCACCTGCCCTCATTTCAAGAATTGGAACAAAGGTCATAAACCCATCCCCTTGATTTGATGGACAATGTTGTACCACCAGGATATAAGGATACCTCAATCGCATCTATACTTGGGTCACTGTAGCTTGATAACAGTGTGGACATTTTTGCTCAGATGGGTTGATAGGAAACTAATCAAATCACTCTCCTAAGAAAAGTGATTGAGTTGGGCACCTACTGTTAGAATCAATGGACGAATATGCACACTTGGATGCAATGTTTTGAAGCCTACTTTGTGCGCCCTCCGCATTGATTTTCCAGGACTTTTCAATAATTGATGTTCGTACCTTCTAGGAAACGACTCACTTACTCATGTGGGTGACGTGTAGGTAGGTAGCTTCTCTGCCTAGCTCTAAGTCACTAAAGATAGAACGCTCCATGGGAGGCAACCCTTGTCTGGCTTCTAATTTAAAGACGTTAAACAAACGTATTGACGAGAGATATCTTGATTTTTTTTTCATTTTTGGTTGTTTGTGCAAACCAATCATCAAGGAACTAGTCGGTTGGCACGCATTTCGACCATAAAATAATTTTGTTCTACCTTTCCCTGTACTCCTACTTCGGTCCAATGGGGACATTGTCCCATTTAAAGTGTGGGAGGGATTTAGGTAGATTGTTATTCATCATATATACCATGTGTTAAACAAACCTCGATTTGGAGGAAACTTTGCAATGGGTCACGACCATGGATCACACCTTGTGAGCGTGTTCACGGGTTGCTTCATGGCCGTGACATTGGTCGTGAATCGTTCAACAATTTTAATTCCCGATCGTCAAATCTAGAAAATGTCTTCTGATTTTCATGGGTTGGATCACGACCGTGATGATGATGGGATGACCCTTCAAATTTACTCAAATGCTTATTCTGTGTAGGGGAAAAATAATTTTGTGTGTGCAATTGTGCAAAAGTTACTCAAATGCTATGTCAGGTCAAATCATACTAGTGGAGCACTTTCAAGCCATAGGGGACATCAAAATCAAATTGTTGGAGCTATGATTGAAATACAGGACAATGCCTTCAAGAAACAGTGCCCAAAGTGCCATTTGGATGAAGAGAAACAACAAAAATGGTGCCATTTTATAGATACCAACCACTTCGTCGGGAAGTAATCTTGAAGCTTCCTGATTCGCAAGCCACGTATTTGAGCATCCTGATTGATTGAATGATGCTAGACCTGTGGATTTACTTCTTAGAAAGCCAAATCAAAGGCCTATAAATAGGTCCCTAGAGATAGGAAATAAAGGAGAGAGACGAGAGGTCAAGGAAGGGTCGTTACTCTGCCGATAGAGCAACCCTCCTGACTTAAGACGAGACAAACCTACGGGGTAGAAACGACATCAAAAATAGTGTTGCTCGAGCTGTTTTCTCTTTCACTTGCGTCATTTAAGATGGGACTAGAAATAGCTGTCTTACTCGATCGAACATCATTCGATCAAACGTCATGAGAAATAAAAAGGGTCCTTGTCACCCATTAGTTCGCGGTAAATTCTTTGACACAAGGTTGGATTTAAAGAAATAAGAAATTAGCAGCTTGAATGCCACTTATCATCGGGGGACACATTGTTAGGAAACCTAGGGGAAGATTTCCTATGCAACAACTTTGTTCTGCGATCTTTCACTCGTCCAGTAGCAGTAGATTTACTTTTATGAATCTTGTTACCTTTGAACTCTTACGTTCTGCAAAGTCAGAGGCACCTCAACTTCCATAAACCGACCTCCTCTTCAATAGAACCGTAAATCGCTTCCGAAGTAAGGGTTCTGCGAGGGGCCTTAGAAAAATAAATATGTAAACCTTGACTAATAGTTCTTGTATCATACCCTGAGGAAACACAATAGATCTATCACCCAAATATATTTTAATTTTTGTTGGAGATAGTTCACCTACCCCTAACTTCTTAAACACTAAATAAGGAAAACATTAATGCTATCACCTAGATCTGCCAAACATTTTTTAAAATGTAAATCACCAATCATACAAGGTATAGTGAAACTTTCAGGTTCTTTCTTCTTTTTGGTAGCTTGTTTGGAGGATAGCCTAACATTTCTTATTCGAAGGTAGAAATAGCTCCCAACTTCTCCCTCCGTGTCACTATCTCCTTCAAGAAATTGGTTTATTTTGGCAGTAGGTACATGGCTTCTACAAAAGGGACATTGATTCGAATTTGCTTAAGAATATCCAGGAATTTGTGAATTCCTAATCCAGTTAATCCCCCTTAAGTCTTGTAGGGTAGGGATTTCCGGCTCGAGTGAGGTCTCCTTTTCCTCTTCTTCTAGGTCTATATAAGTTGGAGTTGTAAATTTTAACCTCGTAGCAAGTGTTTCTAGATTATTCTTTCCACTTTGCAGAGTGACTATCTTGCTTTCTTCTTCATCCTCCTTGAAGACTATTAGCTAGGTTAAAGCGGCTAACTTTTCTTCCAGTTTATGTAGATCCATTATGTTCTGGTGCTAAACCTCATCTAGATTCTGAAATCTATTTGTGGTTGTTCCCATAAAACCTTCAATTGCATTCTTCTTAAGGGAACTTTGATCCATGAAGTATTGGAATTTTTATGTGCATTCTACTTGTGTGTCTTCATGACCAAAATTAAAGGTAAAGACTTCCGATTCGGGCCAGGTTCCTCATGGTGGATTGCTTCTGGTGATGACAATGATAGATTCAATCTAGGGTTTACAAGGATATATGAATGCCATGGATTCCTTTCTTCTTCTGAAGGCACTCCCCACATAATATTCAATCCCATAGATGAGGGGGAAACACTCTCACCTTTATGGTGTTTTTTCTACCCCTACGAGTTTGATTTTTTGGTCAATCTTGCCAACTATAGAGGGAATGATCACATGTAGAGTTGGCTTGGATGCTTCAACTTCCTCCTCTTCTCGCTCCTCTCTTCAATCGTAATTTTTCTCAACCATCTATTGCAGCAGTTCATGATATCTCCTAGTTCATTGTCTCTTAAGTTCCCTCCCCCAGACTTGAGGATTCTCTATTTGTGATCATCATTGATTCCCTTAAAGAAAATTTCCACCTTTCTCCAGTCTTCAATCCCATGGTGAGAGCATTCAAAAAGTAATGATTTGTATAGTTTCCAAGCTTCCCCAAAAGACTCTTTCTTCCCTTGTGGAAAAGAACCTACGATTGCCCTCATCTTGATAGTTCTAGAAGGAGTATAGTAGCTATTCATATACTTGATGCATAGTTCATCCCACATGGTTATGGAGTGATGAGGTTGACTAATCAACAATTTCCTAACAGTCCCACCAAGTGAAAAAGGGAAGAGCCAGAGATGAATCGCCTCTCGAACTTTCTCATTTACAATGATCACATTAGTGAGGGTAAGAAATTATTCTAGGTGGGGATGGGATATCTCATTTTTGGTCCCCCCATAGATTGGAAGTCGTTCTTGATCATAGAATTCATGTGAGGAATGATGTCATAACCTTTCCCATTCAAATTAGGATGCAAAACGGGTGACTTTAGATCTATTGCCCCTGGATATGAGTATGACTCCATCGTCTTTGGTCTTGGTTGTGGTTGTTCTAGTTTATGCATTGGTTGAGCTTGTAGCATTGCGATTCTTCGAAGTCCTCGAAGTGTTCTTTTGATCTCGGTATCAAGTGGTATCGGGTCAAGAGAATTTCTTCTTCGCATACACACAAGCTTCAAAACACAAACTCAAATAACCATGATGCACAAAGTGTGACAAATAAAACAAGCCAAAACTACTAGGTATTAATAAGTAGAAAAGTAAGACTAAACTAACAACTCTATGATTTTCAGCTAGTTACCAAGGTTCCCCAGCAACGTGCAAAAAACTAGGTTCGTTAAGTGCATGTCATAATCTGGATGCACAAACTTAAACTAAATACCCCATCTTGAGCCAAGTGTAACTCAAGATGGCATTGTTAGTGTAGTGGCCAACCAAGGTCGTATTCCATGGGGCGTCGATATCCTAGGCTTCTTCTCACTCGGTTGTTATCTAGCCAAATCAGGTTTTGGGTTGGTTATATAACAATTGGTAATAAATGGCAATGGAAGAAATGAGAAAGTAGGTACTCGGGGCACCGCCCTCACCCTCGCCCTCGTTACTAGGTATGTCATGCAAAAGGATAAAACTTCCGGTTTATGGGGGATCAAGTGCGAGACTCGCTAATATAGGGGCTAGCTCAACATTCATGAATCTAACCCCTTCCCAATCAGATCCACTAACCCAATCTCACCTCAATCAGATCGACGAATTAGTGATATACTCTATTCCCTTTCAATGTGTTGCACCCATCTGCCACTAGTTCGATATGTCGATAGTCATGCACAACTATCATCACCTTGGTGGGTGTCCTAGTTTGTAGGGGATGGTCACCTCGTCCACCAACTAGTTCCCTACATCCTAATCTACGCAAATCATGGCAACCCGCTCAATCCACAACACCTTCAAGCAAACCCTAACTATGCAATTAAAGATAGCATATGGAGAGACTAGTTCAAAGCACAATAATCAAAGATAAATGCATAAGAACACTATGAAACACATTCCATTCATAAACTTAAGCAAAATGTATCTTACATAACACAACCTATAACTAGGATTTGGGGGGTAGGGGGGACCTCTAGTACCTTGAGTGACTACCCCATAAACGGGTGAAAAAACACATAAAAGAATATGGTAGAAGAATAGAGATGGAAGACTTCTGGAGAATCCTTTTCTTCTTAGCTCTTTCATACTTCTTCTCATCTCGTCTTCTCCTTCCTTCAGCTTCTCTCTCTAAACTCTCCTTCCAAACCAAAAATTTGACCAAGTGTTTAAGCTCTCCTTGCAATATAGGAAGAGTCCACTATTTATAGAATTAAGGAGCATGGACAAAATCTCGGACAAGGGCTTGAGATCGCTGGCATGATCTTTAATAGAGAGTCTGTAATCTTGAAATGATATTGTCCTTGCTCTACTCGCTTGGGTAATCGTGGGCTGACTTCACGGTCACTATCCGTAAGTCACGGTCGCGATCTTTATTGGGGTCTTGGGGGCAGAAGGATGTGAGTCCATTGTTGAAACCTTTTGTCCATCCCTGGTTGTTTCTTCTCCAAGTTCACTGCTGAACCCTCCAAGATCTCGGGCACGATCTTTCTTCATAGGATGCGATATTTGGTGGAAGTTGGCGACCTCCTCTTCTTGGTTTTGATCTTCTTTTTTTTTTTTTCTCCACATCCTACACGTGTGCCCCGTTTTGGCGCCTAAAATGCAAGTATCGTGGAATGCACCCTAATACGACATGAAATGCTCCATGGAACGAATTCGGGATGCAAATGACAATATCTTAACCATGTGGACCAAAGAATGACATGAAATCGCCTAGAATATGGAGGCTAAATAACTCCAGTTTGGGTGATATCACATATAGAAGCATCTTTACTCTCTTCAGTTGTAAACATGTGCATCTTGCAAACTCGATCTTCAATCCAAGATAGATCATCTACAACAAGGGGGTATGAAAAATAGAAAATCATTGATTGGGGGAAGTAAAGTATGTTCAATATCAACCCAGGTCGGTCCGTCTACCCCTACTTCAGTCATTTGAATCATTATCTATCAATAAGGTTTTGATTGAAAAGTTTGCTAATTAAAGTAAAACAAGACAAAGGTGAATGGTTTTGAAAGCTCTTTTGTGGAAGGATCACTCGGGTGTCGCTTCCCCCTAACTACTACCACGGTATGTGAACCGAAATATTTCCTATGGGCAAGGTGATTGCTAACCGCTAGGGGACGCAAATATGGTCGTAGACCACGCTCATAATTGCTAAACCAAGGCATGCATTATAGGATGCATGCATTATAGGATGTTACTAGGCCCTCTCAGTTTAGGCAATCAATGGTTGACTTACTCCCTCACTCAACCCAAGAGTTGGTCGGCTTAATCGTGCTTAACCAAATTGCTTAATCCAATATTGAGGTTTGCCCTAAATTAGCATAGTTAGAAGACTTGAAAAGCCCTAGGGATACCAACTCGATTGAGGCTCCCTTGGAAGGGGGGTTTCCCTCTCTAGACTAGGTTAAGTGCCTAATTAGATTGCTAATCATAAACATGCACAATCCATAGGTTGTTAAGCATAGACATGCACAAACCTAAGGATGCTAAGCACAAACATGCACAATCAAGATGAATAATACCTCAAACATTTGGATTAAACAATACCCAATGACAATCATTCAATTCACATAAAAGAAAACTACATGGTAGAGTTAGGGTTTCACAACACCCAAGTGAAAAGAATTATACTCCATGCTAGAGATGGGAGAAACACAAGGAGAAGGGGTAGAAACCATCTTGGAGGAGGATTCCAATCTTCTTGGCCCTTGTGTTGAACTTTCCTTATAGGAAATCTTCCCAAAATCTACCTTGGAGCAAAGCAGGAGCAGAGCAAGAGAGAGAGAGCGAATCAGGGTAAGTTTTGGAGCACGAGTCAAGCCAATCCAGCAAGTCCCACAGCATCAAGGGAGCCCCAGAAATGTTTTCCCTTGCTCAAATCGGTCTAAAGCCAACGCCATTGATGAATCTCATTCGAGCAAAAACTGCTATGAAATTGACCCTGAAATGTTTTCCCTTGCTCAGCTCGGTCTAAATCCAACGCCATTGATGAATCTCATTCGATCAAGAAATGCTCTGAAATTGACCGATAAGGAAGAAAAATCAGGTGAATGGGTTAGCGCTAGGGCTGGGAATCCAGACCAAACCGTATGGGAAACCGCGGTCTAGACCGTATCGTATGGTTTGGTCTGGACCGTGAGACCAGAACTATGGTCTGGTCTGGTTTGCGGTCTCCTCCTTTAGTGCGTGGTCTGAAGTGGTCTGGACCGCGGTCTACCGCAGTAAACCGTAACAGACCGCGACACACTACCTACTACCTTGGAAAAAAATAACACTAAATTGAACCTCCATATGTGTATTTGAAGAACAAAGTTAGTTGATTCTTCATCTAGTTGAAAGCCAATAAATTGCAAAATGATCGCTTATATGTTATCTCCTTATCAAAGTACCACAGAAAAATTAGAAAGACTCATAAATAATATTCACAGATAATGTCTAGACTATGGATTCGATAAAAATTAAACACTACAAAAAAATTCGTTCACCTTGATGAGATAAGGAAAATTATTGAGAGATATGCGACCATCTTAGTGGTTCGAAATTACCTCGACGTCATCAAAAAGGTTATTAACTGGGAGAACCTTTAGATCACTCGAGAGAGGAGAGAAGCGGTAGCACAAAGAGGAATAGGGAAATAAGGCTATTTGAAAATTGAAAAAACCCACTTCTATCCTCATATTTCTTCTTATTTAATACGATCGCAATTTTTTTGTTTCACTAGCATATTGGTCACTAGATTTTTTTTATAGATACCGGTGAAGGGTTGGAGGGCGAACAAGAGTTAATTTTTTTTAACATGGTCTATCTGGTCCCTACCATACCGGACCGCACCGCACAGGTGTGGTCTGGTCTGGACCGTATAGTATATGGTCTGTGTTCCAACCTCTCGGTCTGGACCACAGACCGTATCTATGGTCTGGTCTGGACCGGACCGCACCGTTTCCCACCCCTAGTTAGCGCAATCAGAGATGATTCGACTCAATCGCCTACTGCGAAATAATCAAATGGTATTCAGGATGCTCTCAGATCAATCCAATTAGCCTCGAAATGTCTGGATAAAAAACACCCAAATCTGGATAGGATTTCTTGGTTTCGCAAATTTGAAACCCGAAAGTGGCGCGAAGGGGCGAATCGTCAAATCAACGACGACGATGATGCCTACCTGGAAGGCCTCGACCAAGCGAGCAGAAGTGGTTGAGCACATACGTATCTGAAAAGCCTCAATCGAGCGAGTAGAAGATCCAAGGAAACCTCGTTTTGGAAAATTGCTGCTCAGCAAATCCAAATCCGTTTCGGATTAGGATTACGTGTTCTCTATGGTTTTGACTTCTATATTTTCGTGTTCTAGAACAATTAGGTTTTCCTTTTGAGTTTTACGCATAGATAGGTCTATTTAAGCTCGTTTTCAAGGTATTGTAAGACAGATTTTTGGTAGATAGAATACAACTTTTGTGTTTCGTTCATTAAGCTTTTATGCTTTGTGAATTGGTTGAATTGCTTGGAGTAATCTGAGAGTTGAAGAGCTTGTATTGAACGATTGATCCCCATCGTTCGTGGCCAACATCTACTTATACTCTTCGAACCTTCTTCCGCGTGAAAGATTGCACGAGAGTTCTGTTTCCCCAATAACAACCTCCACCATTGTTCCTATGTTCTTGTTCAAAGCCTACGTTCAATTCTCAAAATTGGACAGGCTGCACAAATTCAATCACGACCCTAGCTTCTAGGGCTGTATTAAGTGGTAATCATAGCCCGGTTCACACACACAGTGGCCAAGATGAAGGACGACGTTGACGGATTTACATGGTGGACGAGATCGAAGGGTCCCGTTGCCAGTGACCCTGTTGTTCTACGCCAAAAGGAGTGTGAATCCGCAGTTGAGAGTAAAGATTTAACCATGGCATGCCAGGCGTTTGACATGGAGGCATTGCTGAACCAAATTGACGCTCGACTTCAGGCTCAATTGGGGGCATTCAAGCGCGAGATTGATCAGAGGCTCGACGCGATTTCTCTTCCGGAAAATATAATCAGAGCAGGGGCAGTTCCGGACCGGGGTAATCAAGCTGAAAACCCCGAATTGATGGATCAGATCGAGGAATTGGATTGAAGGTTGGTCATAGTAGAGCCTTGTCCCGACCGCCAGTAGCGAGAGCAACGTGAACACCGCGAACCAGAGCCGGCAATTCCCCCTGGGCTTAAATTAACGATTAAGGCGTTTCAAGGCACGTCGAATGCATGAACTTATCTAGACTGGGATCGCAACCTGATTCTTTTCTTCCAGTGTGGACAGTATACAGAGCAACAGAAAGTACACTTGGCTACTTATGAATTCAGTGACTATGCTGCTTAGTGGTGGGAGCAGGTTCGTCTTCGACGATAGCGAAATTTGCAGCCTGAGATTACAACGTGGACCTAGTTGCGCGTACGAATGAGGGAAAGATTCATCCCTGCAATTTATCAGCGTGAATTACATGAATCTCTCAACTAATTCGTCAAGGATCACTGATTGTGGAGAAATATTTCCTAGAATTAAAATTGCTCCTAATGCGGGCTGACGTTCGTGAAGACAGAGAAGCGTCGATTTCACGATTCCTCCACGGCCTGAATCGTGAAATCCGAAACGAAGTTGATCTGTGATCATTTGTCGATCTAGAAGAAGAAGTTCACATCGCCATTAAAATTGAAAAACAACAGAAAACGGCGACGAGTAGACGATACACTCCAGTTACCAAACTTGCGACTGAGTCCACCGTCGACACTACTCCACTTCCACTGCGGCCTAACACCAACAAATCAACTACCAAAAATGTTTTCCCAGTTGCTACCGAACGATCTGTAGCCATTCTTTGTTTTAAATGTCACGGTCGATGTCATAATGCCAACCAATACCCAAATGTGAAGACCCTGGTAATCAAGCAAGGGAATTACATTTCTAACGACGAGAAAAACTCCTCTGACGACAAAGAGTTGGATGAAGAAATTGAAGTTGAAACCCCTCGCCCTCTAGGAAAACTCAGGGGCGTTAATCGAAGAGCCCTCTCTATTTAATCGCATTACAATTCTGAGTAGAGGGATAACTTATTCATTTCCCGCTGCATTGTCAATGGTGAATTACTATCGCTGGTCATCGACGGAGGGAGTTACACCAATGTTGTGAGTGCTGACGTGGTCCAAAAGCTGGGACTAAATACCGGCAAGCATCCTGATCCCTATACCCTACACTTGCTGAGTGTCTATGGCGCCATCCGGGTCAATAAACAGGCTCGAATCAAGTTTGCGATGGGAAAATACGAAGACGAGCTTCAGTTCGATGTGGCGCCAATGCAAGCTGCCCATTTATTACTCGGGCGTCCTTGGCAGTTTGACCGAGGGGTGTGTCATTACGGAGGAACAAATTGTTATAAGTTTAAACACCTTGGTTAGAATTTTCTGCTTAAGCCACTAATACCGTTCGAAGTTCGGGAGGCTCAGCGTCAGCTTGAGGCAAGTCGACGGCGGCAGAAAGTAGAAGCTAGAAATATATGTGTAGAAGCTTCTAAGGAGTTGAACTTGGTGACTCGGCAATATATGATAACTGCATATGTGAAGAAGAGGGTTGTCATCATCAACAGCTCTGTGCTGTTCTGCTGGAGCAGAGTAGGAGAGAGAGCGAATCGGGGGAAGATCTGGAGCACGAGTCGAGCCAATCCAGCAAGTCCCACACCATCAAGGGATCCCCAGAAATGTTTTCCTTTGCTCAGCTCGATCTAAATCCAACTCCATGGGTGAATCCCATTCGAGAAACAACTGCTCTGAAATTGACCTATAAGGAAGAAAAATCGGATGAATGGGTTAGCGCAATCAGAGATGATTCGACTCAATTGGTTACTGTGAAATCATCAAATGGTATCCCAGGATGATCTCAGATCAATCCAATTAGCCTCGAAATGTTTGGATAAAAAACGCCCAAATCTAGATTGGGATTTGTGGGTTATGCAAATTTGAAACCCAAAAGTGGCGGGAAGGGGCGAATCGTCAAATCAATGACGACGATGATGCGTCGAGGTGTTTTGTCAGCTCAGGAAGATAATTGGGACCTAGGCAAAGCTTATGGAAGCCACGAATTGGTATTGGATTGTCTCAATCAAAAAGCCCCAATTCTGTTACTCAATAACACTACCCTGATCTTGCAGAAATTGGAGCTTGAACAGCCGATTTTCGACCCTATATGGCAAGGGTTTTGTGACGATTTTGAGAAGAGGAAGGACCTAGCTTTGAGGACAAAGCTTTTTGAAGAGGGAGGGCCTGATTAGATCGTGATTAGCTCAATCCACAATCCAAAATGGCCTCAAGAAGGAGCCATATCATCAAGATAAGAGGACCCTAAAAATTTGCTAAGTGTTTTTCCTGTTTTGGGTTACCTAGTTGGTAAGCTAGGATATTCCAAATGGTTCCATGGAAATCCAAGGAGAGGGGCTAGAATGAAACTGCAAGAGATTTTCTATGATTTCCAAGGCTTGGGAGGTCAGTCACAAGGGTGCAAGAGCGTTTTTCAAGTCCCTATACTTGTTATGGCAAAACCGAAAAATTGGCCAGATTTGTCTAAGTCTGGAATTCAGTGCGAGAAGGCTACTTTGAAGAACTACTCGAGATGGAAGGAGGAGAGTCGAGCTAGGAGATTTGTGCCACACGAAAGTGGACGTTTTCTTCTCCAGTCTGAAGGAATTGGTTGAGCACATACCTACCAGGAAGGCCTTGATCCAGCGAGCAGAAGATCGGAGGAAGCCTCGTTTTGGAAGACTGCTGCTAAGCATATCTGAATCCGTTTCGGATTAGGATAACGTGTCTCTTTGGTTTTGACTTCTATGTTTTCCTGTTCTAGAACAATTAGGTTTTCCTTTTGAGTTGTACGCATAGATAGTTCTATTTAAGCTCGTTTTTAAGGTATTGTAAGACAGATTTTTGGGCGATAGAATTCAAGTTTTGAGTTCCGTTCATTAAGCTTTTGTGCTTTGTGAATTGATTGAATTGCTTGGAGCAATCTGAGAGTTCAAGAGCTTGTATCGAACGATTGATCTCCAACATTCGTGGCCAGCATTGACTTATACTCTTCGAGCCTTCTTCCGCGTGAAAGATTGCATGAGAGTTTCGTTTCCCCAACAACAATTGGACAAGCTGCACAAATTCAATCACGATCCTAGCTTCTAGGGTCGTATTACTGGATAGCCGTGAACTAACCCTTTTTCACCTCCTCTCTCGGTTTTTGATCCTTTTTGTCCAAATTTCGACTCCGAGGCTTGTTTCACCTGTTAAATCCTGAAACACACTAAAACACGAGAAACCTAGAGTAAAACCAACCTTTTAGGAGCGAAGTTGCCACAAACGAAAAAAGAAAACGGTGGCAAAACATGTACAATTAGGCCCGAATCACTCCCCCACACTTAGACGTTTGCTTGTCCCCAAGCAAACCATTTCACACTAGGTAATATTTCAACCTACACAAATACTTTGGCGACAACTCAAATGGCACAAAGTGGGAATTCTCAATGGCTATTGGCACTCAATACATGGACCGTTGCAAGAAATACCGACATCCACCACAAACGACATCCGAAGCCACCAAAAATGGGCAAACGAAAAGTTCTCACTTTGTTCATGGATCAATGAAAGTCTCAACAAGACCACTTAGCAACCACAACCAACCATGCATGGAATTCAAGTCCGAGGAACAAATGGAAAGGCAACAAAGGTCCTCACTAGGGTATGATATGCCATGCAAAGCAAGAATGAATCACTCACTCACAAGACCAGTGGGTCGGTACCTTTTTGGTGCAAAAGATGTGCACAATCGTAAACTCTCGGCCATATCGTCTCAATACCAAGGCGGTAACCTCTAAATGCTAGAGTTCACGAGATGGTTGTCACCACTAGCTTGTCCGGAGGTCTTAGACACGGGTTCATATGACTGGCAATTGTCTTGGACATGGGAAAAAGGCTTTTGGGTGGTGGCAATCATGACATGAGGTTCTATATCTTCAAACTAAACCCAAAGGCTCTATGGTTTCGACTAAAACCCTTCTCTTCAACCCAAGGCCACTAGCATCGCCAAAACACATTATCTCTCCTTTCCAAACTATCACCCATCGTGAACTACATCAAAGCACTCTTCCTCGGTCTACTCTTGCTAGCACATTAAGGTTTGGTAGTTAAGGAGTTCTAAAACAATGTGGGGGTTTCAATGGCTTGGGTGCCACAAAACCCCTCCTAGAGCATGTACTTTGGTTTTTCGTGGCACTCTCTACTTTATTTACCCCATTTCATTACCTCCTTTTTCATTTCTCTTTTCTTTTCTTTCCTTTTCTTTTCTTTTTGAAGGGGGTACTAGAGAGTAAAAACACTTGGCACCTGTACATTTAACGACCAATGCTCTCTTTTTGAGGAACTCACTCCAACACTACACTTCATTTTTCTCATTCCTAGCAAGAACCGCACACAAACCTCCTATGTAGAACCTCTATGGAAACTCAAAGGTGAGAGCTCCAGGACATAAGGACGACTCATGTTTAGAAACGAAGAAAGGATTGGGGTCATTCTATCAACACCATTAAGCTCACAAGCACGAAGCTCCTAACTTAAGAATGACCCTCATTTGGGTTGATTAGTGGATAACAGATTTCGGGACAATCAACATTTGGGGTGGACTAATCATATGCCTCCATCATACTCACTAGTGACAACTGTGATGTTACTCGCCATGGTAAGAGGGATATAAGCACACAAGATGAAAACGATCAGCTCAAAGCTCACATGGCTACCTAGTCACCCAACCATCTATTCCAATTCACAAACACAATGCATGGCAATTATAATCAACAAGTAATCGAGTCAAGACATCCATTCATTTATGCACCCATGAACCTCTCAGTCCTCATCATAGGATATACTCGATCACATGCAACAATTCAAGATCAATGCCAATAAACACGAGAATTTCTCACACACTGGCCACTTTGATCATGCAAACATTGCTTGGAGCCCTCATATTTTTGAAATTTGGGCATATATCAAGGCTCCAAGCATCCATCACACTCACACAAGAATAATAGTAATCTACCCCCCCCCCCCACACACACACACACATTTAAACTTGACATTGGCCTCAATGGCGTAAGAAAGGGGTAGAATGATGTTACCGCTTGGGCATGGTGAGTGAAAGTTGGAATCGAATCCGGGGTAGGATAATTTGAGCTTCAAGGAGAGACAAAAAACACACACACAAGCACAATATGACTCGCACGAGGGGAGGTTATTACAAACACAATACGATAGTAGTGGTTTATGTCACACACACACAATGAAGAAAAATAACAAAAAAACAAGGAACAAGTTCAGGGTTACAAGTGGAGAAGTGGGGCGAAAGAACTCCGCTCTGCCACATGTCTCACTCGTTGGCTACCTCTCTCTGGTGGAAGGACCCGCGGCCTCATTTAGGAGGATGCCCTAGCGTCGAGGCATAAGCTCGAGGATGTCAGTCTGTCGGTCCAGCGCGGGAAGTGAATCCCATGAAGCTCCTCTCAAGGCGATCCACCCTCTGGACGAGGGGATCACCTGCTGGTGGTGGGGGTGGCTGTGCTGGGCGCTGGAGCGCTAGATGCCGGCGGCGTCTGGGTGCACGAGCAGGTTCCTGCTCTGCTGGTGGTGGGACCTCGAGGTTATGCTCCACTAGAGCCAGGTCAACTGCCGCTCGGATGACTCCTGAAGGTCGGAGTCCCTCAAGGTACTCCACTCCTCGCTCTCCCTGGAGTACCAGTTTCTGGTTTTACAAAGTCAGATCCACCTGGAAGTGTCGGGCCATCCTCGTGACGAGGCCCTCCATATGCATGGTGTCCACTTTGTTCCTCCACAAACACCGAGCGAAAGAAGTGGCGATCAGCGATCCCAGATGGATTGGCTCTGTTGGACTCCTCATGGAGTAGTGAGCAATGAGCCATTTGTTCGTCATCAAGTGGTCAAACTGGAGGCTGGGGATGATTGAGCGGCTGAATAGAGTGTGGAGGATCCTCCTAGGAGTCCTTAGCTTTACCGCATTGGTGCGGCTCCCCTCGAATTCGTCCTGCTCATGCTCAGAGCGACATAGGGCTTAGAATGCTCCCTGATAGTTGAAGTCGACGGTTTACTGCCGCTCCATCATCGTCAAGTGAGTGGGGTCAAGCCCCATGGTCTGAGCAAAGGTTTCGTAGAACAGAACTTGTGGCTGACCTCCCAGCATGAACTCCACCCTCGGTCAACTCTTCTTACTTGCCGGGATGATGTGGGACAAGGTGGAGTAGAACTCCACACACAACTCGTGGTAGATCTCCTCATCCATCGTCAAGAGCTAGCGCCACTAGGGGAGACAGAGCACCCCGGTCATCGCGGCTCGACACCTGAACAAGTTGAGCATGTCTAGGTCTAGCCACTAGTGAGGCCCAATCGAGCTACCACTCTGGTAGGCAAACTTGTCTCCAAAATCCGGGTGGTGCACCAAATATCAATATGTAATCGTGCTCCAAGTTAAGCATCCAGCACAAATTGATAAACAGACACCATACGTGGAAACAATCATCAGAAAATGCCCATTGGGAGGAAGAGAGATCCCCCACACTTGTTTTTCCACCATGGTTATCAAACATTTAAGCTCAAACCACCGTGGCATGGTTGTGGGTAATTCACGGATCAAGCACACGAAAAATTGAACCAAAATCCAAACCACGACAGCTACCATCCACCAATCAAGCATAAAACTTCACTTGCATTCATAACATAGCACATGGTGGGCCAATTCTAAAAATATAGGCAATTCGGATCAAACACGCCCACCAAGGCTCAACTAAGCTCAAGCAAAAATCATTCCATCATTCAATCAACCTAATTCACCTAATTCCTCGCCCTAAATCTAGGTTCAACATGCAAAGCATAAAAATCATCCTCACTTCACTACCTAATCCGATTCTCCACAAATTAATAAGGTAAAGCTGAAAAACCAACCTGGAGACGCAAGTAGGAGGTAGGAGGATGTTAGGTGTGGGCGAGGAAGGTGAAAAACTGGCGGAAAACTAACCGGAGAGGGGTCGCCGGAGCTTCATCGGAAGCTCTTCAGAGACTCGCGGAAGCTTGTCGCCGGCGACTTGACTGAAAAAAACTTGCCCCAAATCTCCCCAAAATTTCAGCACAGGCCGGTTTCGATGAGGGGAGAATGGGTACGACGTTTCTTTTGGGTTTTGATCGCCGGAAATGGAGGAAAATAAAAAAACCGACAAAGTTTTGCGGTTTTCCAGCGACGATTTGAAATTTTACAGCGAGATTTGGTCGTGAAGTGATGCATCCGGGAGTGGATCCACCACACTCTCGGGGCGAGGCTTGTAGCCTCCCGTCTTAGGCTCCATGAGTTGGCCCTCTTGATTGGCCAACTTTGCTTTGGCCTTCTCCTTCTTTCGGGCCAAAGCTTCTTTCAAATTCTTCCTCCGAGCATTCTTCCTCTTCTCCTTGGGCATAGTATCCTCCTTCACATCCTGCTCAACATTACCAAAAGCAACGCAAGGAATGGTGGGGTTTGCCTTGAGAGGCTCTCCACCACTCTCATTCACATCATTTGAAACCACTTCCTCACTCCTAACCTTAGGGTCAATTTCAAGCTTGATTCTCTCATTATCGTCCCTCATAATTAAGGTCCCTCATTAACGTCTATCAATGCCTTGGCGGTGGCAAGAAAGGGACGACCGAGGATGAGTGGCATATCTGAGTCCTCACTTATGTCGAGAATCAAGAAATCGGTCGCATAACAAAACTTGCCCACTCTCACCATCATGTCCTCCACAACACCCATCGAGCTAATGACCGAACGGTCGCCTAAGGTGATGCTAAGCTTAGAGGTCTAAAGATCACCTACTTCTAACTTTTTGAAAAGCTTGTAGGGCATCACATTAACACTAGCTCCTAGATCCTCCAAGGCATTGTCTATATGATGGTTACCAATATTAAGAGGGATAGTAAAGCTACCTGGGTTGGACCGCTTTTTGGGCAAGCGGTTGGGGAGGTAAGCCGAGCACTCCTCGCCAAGAGTCACGTTGGTGAGGCTTCAAGCCTTGGCTTCTTGGTAAGGAATCCCTTGAGGTACTTGGCATATCTTGGCATTTGAGCCTTGGCTTCAAGGAAAGGGATGTTGAGGTGGAGGGTGTGGAGCATTTCCATGAATCCTCCACACTCGTCCTCCAACCTTTCCTTCTACATCCTCGTGGGATAAGGAAGAGGTGGTGTGTACTCGCCCACCGCCGATGCATTCCTTATCGCCTTCCTCTCATTCCTCGAGTGCTTCTTCTCTCCCTTATTCGGGTTGGTATCTTCCTTCTCCTTCACTTCTTAAGTGGCGACTTCTGAAATCACCTTCACACTCCCCACTCGAAGTGATTTCACCCCGGCATGGTTGTTGGGGTTTGCAAGGTTTGGGTAGGTAGGGTCCCCTTGGATCTCTCGGTGAGGATGCCTGCAAGGTTGTTGATTTGCACCTCCAAGCTTTGGAGTTTGCTTGTTGGCTTTGGAGACCCGCCTCAACCAAGGTAAACTTGGTAGTCGACACTTCCATAAATTGCTCTATCTTCTCACTTCTCAAACTTTTGAGCACTCGTACTCACAAAGTTTTCACTAGGACATCAAGCTTAGATAGCTTGTCGGGTTATTCTTGTTGAAACCCTAGGGCACCTTGTTATTGGTATGGTTGTTGGAATCTTGAGCCTTGAAAACCCGAGGGCCATGGATTTGTCGGCGATGCCCAAGCAAAGTTGGGGGGGGGGGGGGGGGTTCCTCCATCCGGGGTTATAAGTATTGCTATACGGGTTGTTGACCCTAACATTTGACACGAAGTTGACTTGCTCCTCTGGAGTGATTGTCTCCTTCATTGCTTGACGCTCGCCATCTCATGACTGATGCTCGAGCACCAGTCGCACGACATCACCAGCCTTTTTCCTTGCCTCTTATCTTCAAGCATAACCTCTATCAACTTATCCAACTTCGGCTCAAGCGAAGCACTCGCTCCCACGCTTCTCACACCCCTATCATTGCTTCTTCTTCCACTTCTAGTCAACCCCAATCGTATCCCCTAAGGGCCATGTCTTCAAGTATCAAAGGTTATTTGGGGTGGAGCCATATTCATCAATTTCCCTTGACACAAGGAGTCAATGAGAATTTTATCTTCTTGCATTATGCCTCCGTAGAAGGTTTTGATCTGAAACTGTTCTTCAAACCCGTGGTGAGGTCACTGAAGAAAATAGTCGGAGTACCTCTCCCAAGCATCCCTAAAGGTCTCGTCCTCTTCTTGCTCGAAATAGGTTATCTTCTTTCTCCGCTCCGCCATCTTCTAAGGCGGGCAGTAGCGAGCCATAAACTTGTTGAGGAGGTCGCCCCATGAGGTGATTGACCGAGGTGGGCGGTTGTTAAGCTACCTAAGTGCGTTCCCCGAAAGTGAATACGGGAAAATCCTTAGTTGCAAAGCTTCGCCCGGCACACCACTGATTTTCAAGCTTCCCGCGAGCTCCAAGAATCTCTGCAAATGCTCTCTTGGTGACTCTCTCCCAAGCCGTGGAATAAAGCATTGCTTTGATCTCGAAATTGTTTGCCGCCACCAGAGGATGTAGGATTGGCAATTGAATGTCCGCCGGCCTTGGGGCCATATAGTACCCCATCATCCTCGGGGATTCCTCTTCCTACGCCGCATCATTCAGTTGACAAGCTTGGGCTCCATCTTACCTTTGGTTCCCCGCCATTTCTACTACAATGACGGCTTCAACTTCCACTTCTTCAACTTCTTCTCCACCAACACCGGGACCCAATTATTGTCATCTTACTTCACTCCTTCTCCTTGCCTCCGCTAGCTCTCTCTCCCTTTCTAGGAGGAGAGTTCGATTTATGTCCTCGTCAAGTGGTAACAAAGGTGTCGGGTTACTCCGAGTCATGCACCACCTACACACAATCGGAAAACACACCAAGTCTAGCACAAGCAAAGCACACACACTTTCAAAACTGGAAATTAAAAAGCTAGATTAACACCAAACTAATTTTCCAAGATAACAGACGGAGTACCTCTCCCAAGCATCCCTAAAGGTCTCGTCCTCTTCTTGCTCGAAATGGGTTATCTTCTTTCTCCGCTCCGCCATCTTCTAAGGCGGGCAGTAGCGAGCCATAAACTTGTTGAGGAGGTCGCCCCATGAGGTGATTGACCGAGGTGGGCGGTTGTTAAGCTACCTAAGTGCGTTCCCCGAAAGTGAATACGGGAAAATCCTTAGTTGCAAAGCTTCGCCCGGCACACCACAGATTTTCAAGCTTCCCGCGAGCTCCAAGAATCTCTGCAAATGCTCTCTTGGTGACTCTCTCCCAAGCCGTGGAATAAAGCATTGCTTTGTATCATAGTCACTAGCGCCGACTTGATCTCGAAATTGTTTGCCGCCACCAGAGGATGTAGGATTGGCAATTGAATGTCCGCCGGCCTTGGGGCCATATAGTACCCCATCATCCTCGGGGATTCCTCTTCCTACGCCGCATCATTCAGTTGACAAGCTTGGGCTCCATCTTACCTTTGGTTCCCCGCCATTTCTACTACAATGACGGCTTCAACTTCCACTTCTTCAACTTCTTCTCCACCAACACCGGGACCCAATTATTGTCATCTTACTTCACTCCTTCTCCTTGCCTCCGCTAGCTCTCTCTCCCTTTCTAGGAGAAGGAGAGTTCGATTTATGTCCTCGTCAAGTGGTAACAAAGGTGTCGGGTTACTCCGAGTCATGCACCACCTACACACAATCGGAAAACACACCAAGTCTAGCACAAGCAAAGCACACACACTTTCAAAACTGGAAATTAAAAAGCTAGATTAACACCAACTAATTTTCCAAGATAACAGACCGTTGTCCCCGGCAACAGCGCCAAAAACTTGACTCGTCCCGAATACCACATTAATTTCCCACCTAAGGTCCAAGTATAAACCTTAGTCGGGTGCAGTACAGGATAAGTATGTTTAAATATCAAGCCGGGCCGGTCCGTCTACCCCTACTTCAGTCATTTGAATCATTATCTAGCAATAAGGTTTTGGTTGAAAAGTTTGCTAATTAAAGTAAAACAAGACAAAGGTGAATGGGTTTGAAAGCTCTTTTGTGGAAGGATCACTCGGGTGTCGCTTCCCCCTAACTACTACCATGGTATGTGAACCAAAATGATTGCTATGGGCAAGGTGATCGCTAACTTCTATGGGATGCAAATATGGTCGTAGACCATGTTCATGATTGCTAAACCGAGGCATGCACTATAGGCTGTCACTAGGCCCTCTCGGTTTAGGCAATCAATGGTTGACTTACTCCCTCACTCAACCCAAGTGTTGGTCGGCTTAATCGCGCTTAACCAAATTTCTTAATCCAATATTGAGGTTTGCCCTAAATTAACCTAGTTAGAAGACTTGAAAAGCCCTAGGGATACCAACTCGATGCAGACTCCCTTGGAAGGGGGGTTTCCCTCTCTAGACTAGGTTAAGTGGCTAATTAGATTGCTAAACATAAACATGCACAATCCTTAGGTTGCTAAGCATAGACATGCACAAACCTAAGGATGCTAAGCACAAACATGCACAATCAAGATGAATAATACCTCAAACATTTGGATTAAACAATACCCAATGACAATCATTCAATTCACATAAAAGAAAACTACATGGTAGAGTTAGGGTTTCACAACACCCAAGTGAAAAGAATTCTACTCCATGCTAGAGATGGGAGAAACACAAGGAGAAAGGGTAGAAACCTTCTTGGAGGAGGCTTCCAGTCTTCTTGACCCTTGTGTTGAACTTTCCTTGGAGGAAATCTTCCCAAAATCCACCTTGGAGCAAAACCCTAGCTTCCTTCTTCTTTAGTTCGTGTTTCTCTCTCTAGAAATTAGAAGAAGGCTTTCTCACTCAAAATGGACTCTCATCTCTCTTCCTTTCAGCTCATCTTTTAAACCAGAGACGAGCTTAGTTCACGGCCTGAGTTCACGGCTGTGAACTGTGAACTGTGAAATGAGTTCACGGCTGGACATCCTATGGATCGGTTGTTCTCTATTTGGTGGTCAACCTAATGCTTTCTTGTTGTTTATTGTACTCCTGCTTCAGCCCGTCTTAACTATCTTCCTTGACGCATACCTCACCAGGTTGATGCCAACCATTTTTTTCGTATAACTTCCCATGGTGTTCTTCTTGCTTCTTTGCTCTTACTACCACCAAACTACAACTCTTATATTGTTGCTTGTACTATATTTGGTCACCAACCTCTATTGAGTATCTTCTCGTTGTTGTTTTAGGTCACAACTTCCAATGATGGCTTGCCCATGGTAACCTTTTACATAACTCATGCCATGTCTCTTTTGTTGATCGATCTTGTACATAAACTTAGTCTCTTAGTTAGGATTCTTATTGGCTTAACTAAGCATGCCTGTTTCATCCTTAACTAGTTGTCTCCTTCTGAGTCCTCCTGCTATGCCGCGCCCACTCAGAGTGGGGCACCTTGGATAAGGTAACTTCTCTTTTTCCTCCTTCTCGGTAATGCTTTCCCTCATCATACCTCTTTGTGCAGCTTCTTGACCTCGAGTCACCTGAGACTTGACCCATTGACTTCTTGAAATATCGTCTAACTCCCTCTGGCCTTTTTGCTCTTCCTTGGTATTGTTCACAAACTCTCTTCATTACGACCGTTTAGACTCTTCCTCGAATTCTCCAACTTTCGTTAGAACTTCTAATGAACGTTGTACTTGCTTGTCTATACCCGGTTGATTGAATGATTTACTCCTACGACTGGTTCCGAGACTACCGCTCTTGGCCCTCTAGTTCCCACTTTAGACTTTCCCCATGGATTCCTTGAAATTCCACGATTTTCTGATTCTCCTTGATCATGGTAATTTGCAGGGTCTCTCAACCCCCTTC